GCACGTAATAATTGTGCTTTTATTAACTGTGTATCGGTATACATTCTTTATTACATTTCAATAATCATGCTTAATTTATGGTAACGCATGATATGATGACTGTAAATCATAGACATTGAATATCCCCGAGTAAAGTAGCATGAATTTAATCGTTTTTATACATTCTACACAAATATGCAGGTATCTATTATTAATTTGTTTAACAAGTTTTTTTTTTTTTAAGTTCTGATCTAAAAAGTGTTTAAATTTATATATTTATATATACTATATTTATTATTATACACAAACAAACAGAGAGCCATGCATGCAGGCATTCTAAAACCCTGTGTCAAAAAAAATGTCTACCAAATTCTTTTTTAAGCAACTTTTTATTTATATACGAAATTCTTTTTTACTTTTATAGAAAAGATTCCCAAATATTTTTGGTTTATCTGACCAGTTTGTTTGATGTCAAATACTTTGAATAATGATGAAAATATATATATCCAGCCATTACCCACTTCTTCTTCGATGCCACTTTATCGACAAAGCTTGGTCATAATAAACGTTATCATATCTTTTACTAGTCTTTTTACTAGTTAATAAAACACACACACACACACATATATATATATAATACAAAAAATCTTGGTGTGTATGTATACAAATTATTCTTTATGTCATAAATTCCTGTATAAGTAACAAAAGAAAACCAAGCATCAAAAAAAAAATCGTATAAAATTCCGTACATATACACACATACACATATACACACATACATATACACACATTCATTTATACACTTATTTACCCGCCCACTCGCTCTATTACTATCTCATTACTCACTTACCTGCTCTGCTACCTACATATACATATACATAAAAAATAAATAAATAAATAAATATAAACACGTCTGTATGAAATGTGTTGTCATTTATACAAGGTTACCACCGATTTGCGCCTATCTCTTTGGGATGAAGGTCTTTCATCACCTCCTCCAAAAACTATTACAAATTCCATCGCTGCTTTCGAAAACTTGAACCATTCAAGAACCACTTCTACCACTTCTATAGTTAAAGTGCCGGCAAATATGGCTGCTGCTGCTGCTAATATTCCAGATTTTGTGAAAAAATTATACAGGTAAGGATAAATAAATAAAATTAATTGAATTATTTCTTGCTAGATAGATCAAATTGACGCGTCGGTAATATTCTAATGGTTTTTCTGTTTTTATTACTGAATTGATGGATACGCGCTTATATTCTCAAAGTCAAAAGCTTTTTATTCTTTAAAATAATTCTCTAGTCATCTGTAAAAATCGCGCCGCTCTTAGAAAAAGTTGATAAGAATGTAAATTTCTATGGATGTTCATAACTGATTAATCATTCTTCCCCCGTCATCTTTTTGCTTGCTGTCATACAGAATGCTCGAAGACAAATCTTACTCAAATATCGTCTCTTGGGGGATATCCGGGGACACATTTGTGGTTCACGATACGACAGAATTTGCAAAATCAATTCTTCCGAGACATTTTAAACACAACAATTTCGCAAGTTTTGTAAGACAACTCAACAAATATGATTTTCATAAAATAAAAACGAACGATGATGGCTCGAGACGTGAGCAGGTAAATGAAATATATAATGGATAATTTCTGCCCCCAAAAAACCAGTTTTTTATGTTTCTCGCGTAAAAACGATCTACATATTTCCTTTTTTATAGGCGTGGGAATTTCAACATCCAAAATTTCAATGCAATCGACGTGATCTGCTTGAAGAAATCAAGGTTTTTTTTCCTAAAATCGCGTCTTTAAATTTCTTGTTCAAATATCTTAAAAAATTAAACTATTTTGCCAAAATGATAGAGAAAAACGCCTCAAAAACCGATCAAGCCGGTCTCTAATGCTGATGGTTCAACCGCCCAAATACATGTTGGAAAACGGCAAGATATATATTCAGAAGTCGACTCACTTGTAGAGCTTCAAACCGAGATGTCAAATTGTTTGGAATCTTTAAATAAAAACTATCATACAGTCATGGACGAGATTCTCGTTTTTCGAAGAACTCTTGCTGCGCAAGATGATTTAATGCAGAATTTAGTTCAATTTTTAACACAGCACAGTCAAGGCAATGTATCATCACCAAACACGAACTTTTCAACATTAATTCATCCAGATAATAAATATTTTCAGTCTAACAGCTAAAATAATTGATTAATGGATGTGTTTAATTAAATGCTTGTAATTAATAATTAATATTTCGGATTTATGCAGAACGAAACCCGGAATTTGAAGAAACCATTAGGAATTTCCCTGATTCATCATCAACTATAACTTCATTTAATAACAACTCTCCATTTATCCTTCACTTTGATCAACGACCCCCATCACAACAATCCCATCATCATCATCATCATCATCATCATCATGATGGACAATCTTCAACAAATAATAATAATAATAATGATTCACAAGATAATTTTTCACCACATTTCATCTTACCAGAAAATTCTGAAAATTTCTCGCGCATCTCATCTTTTTATCCACCAAGACCCACACTTACATCTTCAAATAGTCCATCCATATCTGCTTCATCTGTTCCTGAAACTGTATCTCCAATAACAACAACCACCACATCCACAACAATTTTACCCGCCTCAAATTCTATATTAGGTCCTTCTAACGTAATTACATCCTCCTCAACACCTTCCTTGTCTTCTCAATCGCTAAATCTCAGAGACAATAATGAATCGCAACCGATTATGTCTTCGTCTACTTCAGAAGTTAATCGATCAAATTTTACCAATGTTCCGGGGAATTTTCTTTCACAATCTCTAGTCAATGATCAAAATTCTTCTTCAACAGTTGTCTCCCCTCCTCTACATCATCAGTACTCATCCACATCATCATTAGGCTTTAATCCTTCTTCCGTGAGCGCTTCAGATAACAATCTAACATTATTCACATTAAATCAACTTTCCTTATCCCCGTCAACTTCAGCTCGCCAATTCTCTTCCGCTACATCTAACCCTGAAAATACAAATTCTACATCTATTTCATATGGAAGAAAAACCACAATAACGTCCTCATCTTCTCAACTACAATCCGACAACAATACTAACAATCATCAAATCTATATGAATCAAGGATCGTCATCAGTAAACTTTGATCGAGATCACTCTTGGTTAATACCACCGAGAATTTTGGTGGTTGAAGACGAAAGTTCAAATAGAAATTTTATGACGAATTTATTACATCTCATTGGATGTCACTATGATATTGCTATAGATGGCGTCACAGCTATAAACAAAATAAATGAAACAAAATACGATCTAATTTTCATGGTAAGTGTATGTGAATCAATTTTTTATTGATGAATATTAGATTTTAACTTCAATTTATATTTTTGATGTCCATTAAAAAAAGGATTTGATGATGCCGAATTTAGACGTATTAAATGCATTACAGCAAATTCGAAGCATTGATAATAAAACTCCCATTGTAAGCGTGACTGAAAATCCATCCGAAAATGCTTTTTTAGAAAATGATCTACCATATGGAATAAATGGAAGCCTTGAAAAGCCTTATTCCAGAGAAGGGATATATGCTATTATAGATAAATTTTGTATTCATCTAAAAGGGCCTTCCCTTGAAAGAAATCAAAGTATGAATGCCCGCATTGATGGTCAGATGATTGTGCATCCGCATCTCAACGTAAGCAATGATCCTAGTAACACGGGAACATTTAGCGAGAACATTTCCGGGAAAATCGAGGATAACAATATTGGAAATTATGCTGTCGATAATTTACATATTGGGCGAAATGACGAGGATGATAATGACGACGACAATAATCCAACGGAATCTATGGATGATGATTTTTCATCTTCGTCTTCACCAAGAAACTTTTTGCTGAGAATGACTAGCGGTACCTCAGCATCTTCTTCATTGATGTCCCCTAATAATAATACATTATATTCGAATTTTGGCCCAGTTAATCATCAAGATCATGATTCGCTCGCCATCGATAGGATACACGCGTTACAAGATGAAGCAGAAAGAAGAAATCTAAAGAAAGCTCGGATAATATAATCTTTAGTATGGTTGACTAAACTTTTTTATTTTATTTTAATTTTATAAGCTAACCTTGTATATAGAGAATTTCGAGAGAAACAATTTAACTCATCATCTTATTTTAGATTTTTTTGCATTCATCTTAGAAATTAATTACAAATTTTTTACTGCAAATCTGTTATTCAAGAACAAAATGAATCATTCAATGATTCATTTTTTTAGCAATGCTATTTAATTTGCCGACGATAATAATAAATAAGTGGCTAAACATTTATCCAATATATTCTTCAATGAATTTGTGTCAATTATATTCGAAAATTCAAAATAACTACCAGACATAATTGAAAAAATTAAATGGTTTGCTTTTTTTGTATTAGCCAGGCAATAATAATTTTAATATTCAATATTAAAATATTGTATGTAGTGATATGTATTTCCACAGAAACAAACATTTGTAATTATAGGAATCAAAAATTGCATAAAAAATTGTTAGTATTTGATTCGTTTTTTTTTTGAAATTATCATCTC